AAATATAGTGTAGAGATCGGAATATTGTTTTAAATTGATGAGGGACCAATTTAAAACAACTGAAAAATAATGACTATTCAATTACTATTATTTTATATGGTTGTGATCCCCATTTTATGGTATTCTTGAGATTCTCTGCATCTCCATCAATAGAGAGTGAAATTGAAAATAAGAATATCAATCAATTGGAAGATGATAACACATTCAGGACAACAATCAAACAATATGGATCAAGGTATATTTGTGCTTCCACTATTTTGTTATTTTCTCTTGTTTCAACGTGGAGTTTTATTTAGGGTTCATGTGTGAAAAAGGATTTGATTAAAACATATGAAGCTATAATCCCTTTACGTTTTTCTATCAGTGTACCACTTCGGCCTGCGATGGTGAAGTACATATAGCTATGTCTCGGTTGGATAGGACATTGAGTATATGCCGATCCATCAGCCCACCCGGTTTGAAGTTGCCTTATACCATGCCTTCAACCACGCATAAATAACAACACCGTCTAAATTTTCTTCCTTTATTGCATGTTTATTGTGTGGTAGTAGTGGATAGGTGGAAAAATACAAAGTAATAAATGACTTACAAGTGGATAGAAACATTGTATTTTACATGGTTGACGACCCAAACAAGCACTGTGTCATCTTCCCTAGCATAAATAGTGGGACCTGGGAATTTTCCATTGACCGTAACAATGGATTTGGTTGAACACAGGCTACTAGTGTTTTTCATCACAACCTGTACACATTTACGTTTAGAACTGTGAAATACATACCAGGAATTAGGTATTAAGTACATATAAAATGTGCATGTGTTTAGTAAGCATTTTAGAGTCGATAAAGCAGCGGTCTTTTAAATGAGAATGTGAATGAATGAAGTGATAAAAGAGTGAGAAATGCGAGGAAAGAGTTTAGGAAAATGCATTTATATCATACTTACATTGAACCTGTAATGACGAACACTGCATTCGACAAATGCCAGGCGCAAGCATGCCACGAGGAACAAAACTCAAAGCCAATACTCCATTTCTATCTCTCTCTCTCTCTCTCTCCCTCTCTCTCTCTCTCTCTCTCTCTCTCTGTGTGTTTAAACTGGGTGTGTTTGAGATGATGTGAGCTTCTTGCGGTGATGAGGTGTGACTGGCCAACACAACATTATATAGCAGATAATGAGGTCATTGTTGCCATGTCGTTTTACCTTAGGTGAAGAGAGGGATCCTTGAACCGATTAGCCTAAAATTTGTTGAAGAATTTGGTAATAAATAATTTAATGTTTTTAATTAATTATATATATTAGATATACATAGTTTAGATATTAACATATGCATATTTATTAATGAAAAATCGTATTTATAATTTCTTAAACAAAAACAAGATGTTAGTGCGTGTGTGTACTTTTTATAATTCAAGTAAAATTTAGCTAAACAATAATATATTAACTCATTAAAACATTATTATACCTTCAAAATTTCTTATTAGTTTACTCTGAACAATTTAGTTTGTAACTAATCAAAGAAACTTTCATTATGAAACGTGAGGAGATATCACTAATGTATATAGTTCATGTTTGGTAAATAATACTCCGATAAAATTACACATAACAATAAATATAATGATGTTCATGGAAGGAAATGCATTCTCAAGACATCCTCAAACAAGGAATTTAGTAAAATGTAAAACTGGAAATTATACAAAACAAGAATTTTCAAAATTTAATTTCAAATTTCAGATATAAGGTTTCACTTTTCAAATATTAGATATTTTATTTTTAAATAGTAAATATTAATTATACAATTTTCATTTCAAACTGGCAAACCCTAGAACTTTTCATTTTTTCTCACTCTTCTCTCTCGGTCTTCTCACACTTTCTATCTTCTCTGTCTCTCCTCCCAAATGGAAGGCCGAGATGATTTCGTGAAGCTATACGATCTTCTCTCCTCCGCCGTGTCAAAAGTTCCAAGCCACCGCCTCTCTTTCGACTGAGGGTTCCTTATTTCCGCTACGTAACGGCCCCATGGACGACGCGGACACCACGGTACTTCATCGTGCCACCAGATATCAAACTGTCTTTCAACGACCTCCGTCACTCATGCCGCCACCACTACCACCAACCTCTGAGCGCGTGCTCTCTCTCTCTCCCATTCTTCCTCTCATCCCCTTCTTCTTCTTGGAATCGTCTTCACGAAGGCTCAGCATCACGCTTTTAGGGCTTTTTGTGTTTGCGCACGGTGGTGCTGCAAGCATCGTCGTACCACCCTGGTGGTTGTGGTATAGTGGATTTGTGGAGGTCGTGGCGGCATGGTGGATTTGTGGTTGTGGTATGATGGATTTATGGAGGTCTATGGTTGGTCTGCTTTGGATTTGTGGAGGTCGTGGTGGTGAAGACGATTTGGGGATTTTTTTTGGTGAGGTGGTGGGGGTGGTGATGGTGGCGGACGTGATTGTGAGGTGGTGGCAGCTGCGGCGGCGACAGTGGTGTTGGTGTGATTGTGGCGGTGACTGTGATAGTTTTGGATTTGATTTTTTGGTGGTGTTTGGGTGATGGTTGTGATGTTGGCTACGGTGGTGATGTGATAGTGATGTTGGTGGTGCTAGTGATATGGCGGTGGTGCTGTGATTTTGGGTGGTGGTAGTGTGCTGTGGGTGGTGCGGTGCGCGGAGAATCTGTGCGATGTACGGTGGTAGATCTGTGCGGTGTGTGGTGGTGTGTGGAGGTGCTGGTGATGTTGGTTACGGTTTGTTGTCGAGAGGTGGTGATGGTGGTTCTGGCAACGGTGGTTTAGGTTGTTGCAACAGTGTAGTGGTGGTCAAATGCGATGGTGGTGGTCACAAATGATTTGGTTGATTGTGACCAATAAATTGGTTGGAGTGTGACCAATAAACAATATGTGATCAATGAAATAGATAAATTGTAACCAATACATACTTTGTGATCTAAAAATTCATTACTTTGATACCAATAATTTGATAAATTGTGAACTAAATATAATTTGTGATCAATTAATTTGATATTTTGTGACCATTTGTGACATATAAAATTTGTGACCAATGAATAAAATGTGACTTATTAATTTCATAGATTTGTGACCGATAAATAAATTGTGATGTATAAATTTTTGATTTGTGACCAATAAATAAATTGTGACATATAAATTTTTTGAATCGTGACCGTAAAATAATTTGTGACATAAAAATTGTGATTTGTGACTAATTAATAATATGTAATCAATTATATGAAATTTGTGACCAAATTATAAGAAATTGTGACATTAATATATTTAATTAATAACATATATGTTTAATTTATTTATTTATAAATAAAATTTAAAAAACTTTAAAATTTGAAATTTTAAACATAATATCTTAAATTTGAAATTGGTAAAACTAAACCTTTTATTTATGTATTCTTCCCAATGTAAAATGATGTTTTCACGAGTAAAATAATTATTATTGAAAGATGGTATTTACATCTACAATTGTTATGTATCTATTTCACTCTATATCTATCACTGTTAAAATTTTAAATTTTCTTTTTAAAAAAATTACTATTTTCATCCACATCACATTTCAATATTATCCTTATTAAATCCATTCATTTATATATTATAGATTCATATAAATTTTATATATTCATCACACTCTAAAT